AAAAATAGCCAAATGAATGGAAACACATGAACTATGAACCAAAGGCTGAGGGGCCCCCAGCTGGATCAGGCCCTCTGAATAGGTGTGACAGTTTATTAGCTTGATCAGTTTGGGAGGCAACTAGGCAGTGGGACCAAGTCCTGTGCTCATTGCATGAGTTGGCTGTTTGAAACCTGGAGCTTATGCAGGGACGCTTGGCTCAGTCTGAGAGGGACTGGACCTGCCTGGACTGAGTCTACCAGGTTGATCACAGTCCTCGGGGGAGGATTTGCCCTGGAGTAGGTAGGAATGGGGGTGGGCTGGGGGTAAGTGGAGGGAGAAGAATAGGGGAACCCATGGCTGATATGTAGAACTGAATGGTATTGTAAAATAAAATAAATAAAATTTAAAAACAATAATAATTGTACGCTTGCTGTTTTTTAAAGATGATGTAATTGAGTTATTGCCAAGCTCTTGTTGTTCCTTGTATGACTTGATAGTTTTCTTTTCTGTATATAAACTACTGATTTGCAGAAGTAAAATTGCAGCAGATTCAAACCACTTTTGAGTGTGTTGTCTGTCTATCATTCGCCGAATCCTTGCCTTCCTGACTACCCAAGCTCTGGTCTCCCTATGGTCGTGGTACCCCCAATGGGCCAGTCCATGGCAAGGGGACAGCTCTCCCGTGAGGAGCAGGGCCAGCTCTCCTGCTTCAGTGTCCAGCAAGGGGCAAGGCCAGCTATCCCAAGGTTAGTGAAGGGTGAGGCTGGCTCAGCACAGCCCTCAGATTTCAACAGACATGAATCCTGTGACTTCCTGTGGTAACATGGCCATGGACATCAGCACAGTCCCCAGCTGCAGCACAAATATGGACCCAGGCATGGCCCTTGGAAGTAGCTCATGTCTAGATTTCACCATGGCCAAGTAAAGCAGTGTAGGCAACTTAGATCAGCGTGGTCCAGGCTGCAGATTGACCATCAAATACCAACATGATCTCAGGAGCTGACCAGTTCCCAGACCTCTGCTTGGACCTTGGTAATTATAGGAGCCATGTGTAGGAAATCTCACAGAGGTTTCCTAGTGAAATCTGAGCTTGCTTTACCCAGAAGGACTATCTAAGAGGATGATTGGACCATGGGCCTGGGTACTAGGTATTTGGTAGGATCTACACTTGGCTGTATCTAGCAAGGGGGAGGTCTTTTGCCCCTCCCCTTGGCATTGTTATAAAAAAAAAAACTTTTGAATAGAGTTCTGTGCCAATGGAGAAGGATCCAGGCCCTCCTGAGGCTATCCTGTGTTTCTATCTGTTTCTCTCCCCTCTATCCTTCTATCTAAATCTCTTATCCCTCACTCCTCAAGAGTTCCTTGAGGAAAAAAGTGGGAGAGGGTCCCCCATAGCCATGAACATCAACTCAGATCCTGGCTGCCGTAGGGCCACAGACCCAGACATGGCCCTTGGCAGCTTCTCCGGCATGAATGACATCCTGGCCCTGTGTGGCAGTACAGACCACTCAGATCGACATGGCCCCAGTAGCAGCATGGACCTCAGACACCCACATGGCCACAGGTTGCAGCCTAGACCCCAGTCATCCATGTAGTCTTTGGTGGCAATGTGGGCCATGGACATCAACACAGACCCTGACTGCAGTAGGACCACCGACCAAGACATGATCCTTAGCAGCAGCCCAGGTCCAGATGTCACTATGGCCCTAGGTGGCAGCACAAGCTACTCAGATCTGCATGGCTCCAGTAGCAGTGTGGTCCTTGGACTCCAGCATGACTCCAGGTGGTAGCCCAGACCCCTGGCATCAACATGGCCTTTGACGGTATCAGAAACCATGGACATGAACACAAGACCCTGACTGCTGTAGGGCCATGGACCCAGGCATGGCCCTCAACTGCAGCCTGGACCCAGATGTCAGCATGGCACCTTGTGGCAGCATAAGCCACTCAGCTCTATATGGACCAGGCTGCAGAATGACCCCCAGAGCCTCACCTGGCCTCAGGTCATGGCCCAGACTCTGGGACTTTGCATGACCTTTGGTAGTAACAGGGGCCAGGGACATCAACAAATACTCAGGCTGTGGCAGGGTCACAGTTTTTCTGGATTTCTTTTTTTTTAATGATATATTTTATTTACTTTTATTTTCATGTGCATTGGTGTTTTGTCTGCATACATGTCTGTGTGAGGGTGTTGGATCCCCTGGAACTTGAGCTACAGACAGTTGTGAGCTGCCATGAGGAATGCTGAGAGTTCAACCCAGGTTCTCTGGAAGAGCAGCCAGTGCTCTTAACCACTGAGCCATCTCTCTGGCCTCTAAAAATTTTTAAAGATTTATTTTATGTATATGGTGCTCTATCTGCATGTATGCTTACATACCAGAATAGGGCATCAGATCCCATTATAGATGGCTATGAATCACTATGTGGTTGCTGGGAATTGAGCCTAGCACCTCTGAGAAGAACTGCCAATGTCTCCAGCCCCCTTTAAAGATTTATTTATTTATTTATTTATTTATTTATTTATTTATTTATTTATTTATTTAATGTATAAGAGTGCTCTAACTGCATATTCAACTTTAAGTCAGAAGAGGGCACCATATGGTTGCTAGGAATAGAACTCGGGACATCTGGAAGAACTGCAAGTGTTCTTAAACACTCTCCATCCCCTTTTCTGGATTTCTTTAATCAGTTTATTAGCTTCTTCTTTAAGGACCTCTATCATCCTCATACAGGAGTTTTAAGGTCTTTTTCTTATGCTTCAACTATGTTGGAATTTTTAGGATATGATGTGATAAGATTACTGGGCTCTATTGGAGACATTTTTCTCTGGCTGTTATTGATTGTGTTTTTAGGCTGGTGTCTGTGCATCTGGAATTGGGATGACTATAGGTCTAGGTGCTGCTTTGTGGATTTGTCTTTTTTTGGATGATTGTTTGTGTCTTGGTTTCTGTTTTCCCTCTTGATTTTCAGACAGTGTACTGACTGTGTGTGTTGCCTGGTAAGAATTTTTCTTTAGACCCGATAGTTGTGACCACTGGGTGTTCCAGATCAAATGTGCTCCTCAGTCTTGGGAGTTGATGTTTAAGAATGGGGATAGGCTAGGTGTTTGAAAGTGATCACATGATGAATCAGAGCAGAATGTTCAACCAGGATTTGCTTATTTGTCTCCTTAGAATGGGAGGAGACATTGAATAGAGTTCACCCCAGAGGTTCTGCTACAGAGGTGGGGGTGAGACTGTAGGGATTTGATCTGGAGAGGCAGAAAGATGGATGTGGATCTGCCTTCAGCATGCTCGTTGTCCTGGCAGGAGAGGCCTTAGGGTTAGCAGGGAATGCATGCTGGAGTTGGAGGCTGAGACAAAGCAATGAGTTGGGAAAGGGGAGTTAGAAGGGGGAGTTCTGTGTGATCCACAGGAGATGGAAATGGGGAGACAATAAAGCAAAGCCTGCCACAGGTGTTCTACAGAAGAGCTGGAAATGAGACTGGGGACTGGACCTGGGGAAACGAAGGGAGGCGAGAACATCTGTAGGCAACCTACCTGGTTTTCTCATAGGCATGGCCTGTGGGCTAGCAGGGGGTGCCTACTGTAGTTGGGGGCTGCTATAAAGCAACAAATGGGGAAGGAAATTAGAAGGGGGAAATATGTGGGGCCCACAGGAGATATGGGCAGAGAGTGAGGAATGATGAAGCCAGTGCTCTGTTGCAAAGCCAGGGATGAGGCTGAGGGATTGCATCTGGAGGAGAGGAGAGAGTGGTGAAGGTCTTCAGCTGACTTTCCTGCTTCCCTGGACTGCTCAACTGGTGTGTTCACAGGGATGCTGTCCATTAACTTTAAATTTAGTTTCAGACAAGTCCTTAGGGCAAGAGCAGAAGGCAGACATACCATGTGCCAAAATATCACAGGAATGGCCTCTAGCTAGGTTGCTGTTAAAAGTCTTTGCTTCCCTCTGAAATATCTTCAGCTAGGCCTCCAGAGTCTGTTTGCTTTCACCACTGTCTTCCAGCGCTCCCACTAAGATAGTCAAGTAAGCCTTGCTTACAGTATTCTGTAGTGGATAGCTGTTCCAGCTTTGACCTGGAAGTACAACCTCCATTGAAGCTTCCGGTAACTGTCACACCTACCTGCCCCTGAGGCAGGGCTGAGATGGGAGCCCTTAAGATCTGAGATCTGAATGCGTCTGCCCTTTTGGTTCCTGGTGATCCTGGATGCTGGATGGTAGACTGAGCGGAGTTCTCCAGAGAACCCAGCTGGACTGCACCTCACCTCTCCCAGATCCTGTAACCAACCCCTTTACTATCTGTAAGTTACCCCCTAAAATAAACCTCCTTTTTAACTACGTGGAGTTGCCTTAATAAATCCCCCAATAGTATTCAACCTTTTTTGCATTCCAAAATCATAAAATCTTCTTCTACATTCCTCTAAAAAGGAGCAAGGTCAGGTTTGTCACAGCAATATCCTGCTCTTGGTACCAACTTCTATAATATTTACTTTTCTATTGCTATGACAAAACATCATGACTAAAGCAACTTATAGAACAAGTAGTTTATTTGCATTTGAAGTTCCAAAGGATGAGTCCATGATGACAGAGTGAAGGCGTGGTGGCAGCAACAGAAAGCTGACAGCTCATGTCTTGAATCACAAGCACAAGAAGGAAAGAGTTGTTCTGTGGCAAGACTTTTCCTGGGAGACACAGCATACACAGTAGACACTACTCGCTCTAGGAAGGGAGGACATGACAGACCGAAGTATGGCTACCACTAAAGTCCAATTTGGTGAACTAATGAGTTTTGTTAAGATTACTTACAGGAGCAGAAATGACTCCATGTCATCTGCACCACCGAATTTTGCCCCAGCATGGGTGACAACTCACAAAGAGCATATTACACAGCCTTCAGGCAAGCTAAACAGGTTGGAGAGTGTCCTTTCCAAGTGATGCTGGTCTAAACCTCCACTAGGCAGCTCAGCTGTGTTTTTGATTTGTTTTGTTTATTCTTCCTGGTAGCTGCTCTGTTCTCAGATTCTTCTTTGCAGCTTACCTTGTCTAACTGACTCTCACCAGCTCTTCTTGTTAACTCTTAGGAAGAAGGGGCCTAGTGAATCTGGTCACTTTTGGGGCCTTCCTGAGGCTATTTTGAGTTGCTTGCCTTCTGACTTAAGATTTCCTGCAGGATGGATTATGGAGGAAATGGATACACAACAGTGGGCTAGAAATGATGAGAGTCTTTAAACATTCAGTTACACAATTCCTCCAAAAAGACCACACCTCCTAAGTCTCTCCAAACAGCATCACCAAATGAGGACCAAACATTCAAATGCCTAAGACTATGGAGGCCAACTCATTCAAGTCACCACACTGTCCCAATTGAATGGGTGTGGAGTTCTTTTCACAGATCTCTCTGACATTTCCCCTGCACCCAAATATGATGTTCTCTTTGGAGCACTCAACAGTGTGCTCCAAAGAAAATTTGTGCCACAAATTTTCTTCCATGATTATTCTCTACTTGGTAGATTCATCTCCAAGTCTCTACCATATTAAGAGATGCACTATTCACCTAAACTCTGCATCTTGAGGACTTCTCTGGCTCTTTTGAGCTTCAAACAGTAGAATCCCAAGAACAACCAGAATCAAGCCAGCCACAGCCATCCTGATGAGATTCTCCACTGTGTGATCTTGTGAGTGTGAATCTGGGAATTTGGACAAACAAGACAATAAAATCAGTACAGTCCCAAACTGAAAACCAAATGGAATAGACACTTATATCAATAAGAGTCAATACTATACTGGAGTCAATTGCTTTTTATTTATATTTATTATTAATAACTATAATGCCATGAAAATCATTCTGTTTCAATTATTAAATTAGTTGAATAATTCATTGATATTTCCATGAGTATATACATTTATCAACAACTTAAAATATTTTATACATTATTATTACACAGTATATTCATTAATAATATACAGCACAAGCTGAGAATATAGTTCAGTCACTAAAGTGATTAATGCACAATCATGAGAAATAGACTACTTGGAGTTAAAGGCTTAGGTAGAGATAGAGGGTTGGCAAAGAACAGGGTAAGGGTTATGTTAACCTAACTAAGATATAGAAGACATCCTAATAAAATCTATTAGTTTGTATATATTTAAAGGGGAGTTTAAACAGAAGCATCCTGCATGGGTTGACAATGATTGCTTCTAGAAAGTATGGGTTATTAAGTAAAAATACTATCGCAAGGTACAGAATACCTCCTTATGTGTTATTTGTCAGGGACACCCAAGAAGTACCCAATACAGGAGCCATTGCTCTTTGTTGTCTATTATAACTACTGTATGTACCTCTCGCTAAAGATATCACTCATTTATGTAGGAGTACATAGAGAAAGCAACCTCAAACTGACTAGAAAGCTCTCTCCCTGCTGACTAGCTTAGATACTTCCATAAAGGGTTATACAGATTGCAGGGTGAGAAATGACATTAATGGTCCTATCAAGCTCTAGACCCCACATGCTATAATAGTGCCCTCTTTCGTAAGATGCCTACAGGTACATTATTGACATGGCAGTTATGTGTGTAACCAGCTTTCTAATTGGACATAAGGCCTGATCCACAGGAAGGATCCAATGCATGATACTATAAACATAGACAAAAGCCCATAATAGGGAGATTATAGGCCCTAGGTGTGGGAAACTAGCTGTTGTTGTTTTGATAAATGGTCATACTGTCAAACTGCATTCTAAGTGTATACATCTATAACCACAGATCTGTGCTACTCCTAACTTTGGTGAGAGATGAATCTTTCTTCAGTGGGTAGTGGTTAAAGTAGAGACTACTAGCTGGTCAAAGCCTCATTTTTAACTATGAGTGCTCAACTCTGGTAAAGGAACATCCTTTATCAACCTCCTCACAAGACTCAGGGAACATCATCAAAAAGGGGGTAGAAGGAATATAAGAGGCAGAAGACAGAGAAAAGAGCTGTGAAATGCTGATTCTGGTATTGTATCAACTGTCACACATATCAACTCACAGAAACTGTGGTTATCTACATGAGACATGCACAAAATTAAAATTACTCCCATCAAAAATCTAGCATATATGGGGAAGGAACCCTCAAAGCTTTACCCCTAGCTCGGGATCTATTGGCATTGATGGTTGCTGAGGGTGATAGAGTCAATCCCCTTTGCAGATGTGACAACTGATAGGTTGACCAAGCCCTAGCGGGTAGTCCCATATACTTACACTGATGGACTAGTAATAATAATTTTTAAAAGAAGACATGAAATTGGGATGGAGGTGAGGTGGGGAAACTAGGGAGAGTTGAAGGGAGGTAGCAGAAGAAGAAGAATATTATTACAATACATTTTATAAACACATGAAAATTTAAAGAATAAACAAGACCTACAGAAGATCAAGCCAGCCAAATTTCTGGCACAGATGGGTATGTCATACCTAGGTCCCTTGCCTTACTACTGAGGAGTTATTGGAAGCTAGTAGAGGATAGGGGAGGGAGAATCATTCTCTTTTGAATGTGTGGCCAGTAGTGGATTTTTCCATGCTCTAGTAGATCCACACCTATGAATACATAGGCAGCACTAACTGAACTGGGGGTTATAAAAAATACATGGAGTTCAGAGTGGGGTGTATGAGGAGAGTTGGAGGGGCAAAGTATGGGAGTAAATATAATCACATTTCACTAAAAATACATATGAAAGTAAAAATAAATTAAAATGTTCAGATATTTAAAAACAACCCTACAAAACAAAGAATATATGTAAAAAACAAAGACAACAAAATCTGTGCATGGTGATTGGCCCCTGTAATTCCAACACTGGGGAGGCAGAGACAGGCTGATTCCTGGTCCTCACTAGCTGACCAGCCTTGCCTACTTGGCGAGCTCCACACCAGGTGAGACTCTTTCTCTAAAACCAAGGTGTATGGCTCCTGAGTCTCTATGTCTGTTTTATATAACTCCACACTAGGCATGCCTCCTCTGCCTACTGTTCTCACTCATTTTCACTTCAAAAACTCCAGTCTTTCTGTCTCTCATCTTTCCTAAGACCTCATCCGTCATCCTAGTCATGATGATATGGGCTCTCCTGCATGGTCTTTGAAGAATATGAGTCTCTTACAGGACCAAGGATCCACACCTGTGTTTAGGATATTCAGAGGCCATTGGTAAATGGCCATATGGAGGACATAGTATATCCACAGCTTGTGTATTGACTAATGTGGAAGCTACTTGCAGGAACCAACGTGACATCAGCCTGAGAGAGCTAGGCCCAGGCTGCTGGGAAGGGCAAGATGGGATGTAGTGTTTGCCATCATCTGATAGAACAAATCTATCATAATGACTGTCACTATGACATTGGAGGGTCAGGGGTCTTTCTAAGTGCCCAGATATATCCCTGCTGGGTCAAAATAGGGGCCTTCCTAGAGAAGTCTCAGAGAGAAGATGAGCCAGGTATTAAGGATATATTTCATGCCAAACAACTTCCTCTCCCATCCACCTTTTTTTACAAGTCTTGCTATGTCTCTACATCAAGACCCCTGAGCATCTCTCAACTGCCTTTCAGCTTTATTGTACTCATCTGGAATAGGGATCATGCAAAGAATTTATGGGCTTCAAATAAATGTCAAAGATGGGATTGCCTCACCTGAAAGGAGGAGCTGCAGGATCTCACTGGGTACTGACCACATCTGGGAGGTGCTCTTGTAGTATCCATAGCACCTGAAGGCCCATCTGTGTTTGGAAGTCACTGGTCCTACAGGAAACAGTGCCAGAAAATGTCCATTGGGGTGTTTCTGTGAGTTCTGAGTCCAGGACACATTCTTTTCTCCTTCCTTAGTAAGGATGTAACTTCCATATCTCTGATGTGAGCTACACTGGAGGGTGACATTCTTTCCTGAGGTTACCAGAGAGCTTGGCAGAGCTGAGATATTGGGCTTGCTGTAGAATCCTAAAAGAGGAGACAAACATTCCACATTATCTAAAGACTGGACTGTGAGAAGGAGATGCCATGAGATCAAAATCCCTTACTCAGGGCATAACCTGAGCTTGGGACCCTTGTGAGTCCCTTACCTGTCACCACCAGCTCTAGGGTGTTGCTCTGTTCTGATAAGCCAGCAGGGCTGTAATAGTAGCAGTGGTATCGTCCTGCGTGGTACTCTGTCGTGAATGGAATGGAGAAGTTGGCCTTGTTCCCAGGCTCAAACACAGTCTGTGGCTTCAAGGATTTTGAACCTTCCTTTTTATACAGATAGTACACCTGGGCTTCCTCAGTCCCAAAACACCAGATAGTAACAGACTGTCCCTTGGTGACCACGGAGTCTGGCTCAGCCCAGATGGTGGGTATGGGGAATTGTCCTGCAAGAAAATCAAATGCTGTGTCACAGGGTATTCCTTTCTTAAATTCTACCTCTGAGCCCCAGGGTCTTGAAGCATCACCATAATCACCCCACACCTGCTGTTGTCCATTTCCAGGGCACAGGAGTGGTTTTCTTATTTCAGTGTGGAAACAGCCTCTGGTAAGGTATGGGGAATGACTCACCTGCCATCGTTGTGGTTCTGGGTTCCAGACTCAGCCCTGAAAAAGATTTCTCTGTGAGATTTTCTCCATGAAGCTTGAGAAGATCCTCTCCTCTACAAAGCCATCCAAGGCCATGGGATCTCCTGATGAGCCACAGCTTAGTTATGGCCTGAGGTCCCTCCTAGAATTAGGTGTTCCCTCCACCCTTCAAATCTCACCAAGATGAAACAGCACTATCAAAGTAGAGATCATGATGTCTCCTTCCCGGGGTCCCGGCTGTGCTGACTGATGAGACTACAGAAACTGTCAGGACATATCAACACAGAGGGCAACACGAAAGACACTGTGCTCTGTCACATCAAGAAGAGGAAGTCTTGTGCAACTGGCTCACTGGTGGAATGCTTGCCTAGCAAGGACAAAGTCTGAGATTACATACACAGTACTGGAAATGAAAATAAGAGGAAGTGTCCTCCTCAAGAGTGAGTATGCTATTTTCACAAGACTGTGGCTAAGCTGGGTACAATGTCTACTGAGGACATTAGAGAGAGTAAATGGGGCCTTACTCTGCTGCAGTTCTTTTCCTCTCCGGTTCCAGTAAATAGCTTCAAATATACCTCATGTCTTCCTGAGAAATGACTCCCAGGTGAGTGTGACTGAGGACTAAGAGCTGATGATCCTCTTTACTGAAGTTTTCTCTGACATCTGTTCATGCCCAGGTTCCTCCCTCTATAATAGTCTTGTGTTTAAGAATTTAAGAAACCATGGGTTTTTCTCTCTACCATGTTCATATCTACAATATCATGATGTCTTACCATCCTCAGTCATATCTCTAACTCTGATGATGCATTGGGGAATATGCAAACTGATGTTTCAGGGTGGGTTCAAAGCAGCAGAGACACCAAGCACCTGTGTTTGTGGCTCATGTGGAGCTGCTTTTGAGATTATTACAGGATTTTTACATGCTAGATTGTGTCATCTCTCCTAAACACCTTGTAAATGTAAGAATTGTTCTTCTGCTATTCATACAATCAACTACTTTCCCCTTATCTCTCACTAATGTGTCAGTACCAGACATGAGACTCCTTGATGACACCTATAAGTTCCTTCCTTGGACTTATGGATCTCACAAGAATGAAACGGGCACTGTAAATGTGTGGAAGCCTTCTATGGCTTCCTATAATACAAGGAGATTTAAAAAAATAGAGAAGTTAACACTTACTAAAAATTTAAATGAATTGAGTCCTTGTGACGCAAGACTATTAGAGAGGAAAGAACCTGGGCATGAACAGATGGCAGGGATAACTTCAGTATGGTTGCTCAGTAAAGAGGATCATCACCTGTTTTGAGAAGTAAAACTCATACAGAGTTCTGGGGCCCCATCTCACTCTTGAAAAATGTACATGTTCTGAAGTTTCACAGTTAAGGAAATAGGAAATCTTAAAAATTTTATGGGCTCTTTGAGAATATCATACAATGTGTTTTGATTATATCCATCCCTCACCCAGCTCTTCCTAGATCCAGCTCCTTCCCTGCATGATCAACTTTGTGTCTTTTTTGTGTTTTGTTTTGTTTTGTTTTGTTTTGTTTTGTTTTAAAAAAAAACCATCAAGTTCAATTTACTCTTGGATGTGTGGCCTTCCACTGAAGCATGGTTGACTTACCAGAGGCTATACTTGTTCTCCCTTTCTCAACAGATATCAGTTATCAATATCTCCATAGATATGGATGGAAATTTGTGTCCTCCCACCTCTATGCTGGGATTTGGTCTAGTTTGATCTTGCACATATGGCCACAACTGCTGTGAGTTCATGTGTGAAGCTGCCATGCTGTGTCCAGAAGACACTGTTTCCTTGTAGATAGCCATAATCTCTGGCTCTTAGAATCTTTCCACTCCTGTCTTCCATATCTATCTCTGAGTGTTGAGAGGAAGGGGAATAGCCATCAGAAATGTCAACTCACTTATAAAGAAAGAACATTAGAAATTAGATTATAGGCCCCGTGGTGGCCCTCAGAGGTAGACAGGCCCGGTGGCAGTGACAAGCAGAGGTAGGTAGGCCCGCGGCGGCAGCCAGCAGAGAAATACAGGCCCGGTGGCAGCTGGCAGAGACATACAGGCCCGGCGGCGGCGGCCCACAGAGGCAGACAGACCCAGCGGAAGCTGACAGGGACATACAGGCCCGGCGGCAGACCACAGAGGTAAACAGGCCCAGGGACAGAGACAAGCAGACACAGCTTGGAACAGGGACGCCTCTAACCCCAACACCTGGGGAAGAAGCTATCTCCATGGGACGGAATCAGAACGAATCTGAACACTCCATCTGAGGACAACCCAGGGCCCAGCTGCTGATCCTGTGAAACCCAACAACGAGGAGGTGTTGGTGAGACTACCCCACTCAGCTGAAACCCATCTGGGAGAGGATTCAGATGCCTACAGTTTGAAGTCTGAAGAAACAAGATCAGCTGAGGAGTTGACGAATGAACAAAACATGACCTGGGAAGACAGAAGAAGGTGCTACCCAGCCACCAAACCAGATCACCAGAATCATAAGAATCACCGACTGAAATCAGCTGCCCCTGAAGAAATAGCCCAATAGCACCAATTTAACCAAGAACCCCTACTAAACCAAGACTAAAAATTAGAACAAGAGAGGCACTCTCAGACACAGACACCAC